ACTTTCTCTTAATTAAATGAGAAGAAAGATTTGTACTAATAGTGTTTGGACAGGATATCATGTCTGCATCTTGTACTATGAATAACTACTGTGAAGACAACAATACGCAACATATCAATTATTATAACTGTCCTACTAACCTGTCTTGAAACTGTCTCACTGATATTTGTTTCTCAATAAAATTAATAAAAAAGAAAAAGACAGCTGTGGCAACCAGAGATAGACAGCATGAAAGTAAGACAAACATCCAAGAGAGTCACCCAAGGAGCCCTAGCAGGAAGCTAGCTGGAATCCCGGCTACCAGCTCAACCTGTGCTACATCTGGAACAACAGAGAACCGAAGCAGAGCTAGCGAGCCCTCCGTGGAGCATGCTGATGTTGGAGAGAAAGACACTGTTGAAGACATAGCAGCTCCAGCAAAGGGGTGGGGGGAGTGTCAGGAGGGTAAGGGCTGATGCTTTTCTCAGGGGAGAGTCAAGCACTAAATAGATTCACTTCCTTACTCAGAAACTCTTGGGGCCAGAACGAGCAGCGTGCCCCTGAGAGCCTTGGGGAGCCCTTGAAGGATACCGAGTGAGCACATCTCTGAGCCTCTCAGTGTTTTCAAAAAATGACCAAAATGTGGTGATTAGTAATCTCTAAATGACTGTCACCGCAATGTTGATGGTGCTTAAGGGAGTTCTTGCTACATGTAGAACATTTTAATCAGTGTTGCTGAAATCGTCTGTGTTCAGTGCTGAGATCTGATTATTTTTATGATATCAGCAATATTGCAGATCCCCGGCCAGGAATTTACTTTCCACATTAGACATTATGACCAAGCAATCATCTGAAGGCTGTGGGTACAAAGCACGGCTTCACTCTTCCTCGGTGGCCTTCTCTATCTTCTGAAACGTGGCCCTTGCCAGCTTGCGGAGGACTCCTTAGAAGGAGGATGAGTTGCCAAGAGCAGGGCTGTGTGTTCTCATGACCAAAGAGTCTCCGGAGTTGACCAGAGCCTTCGAGATGAAGTGCAAGGGTTTGGGCCAACCCACAAGTTACCAGAGGATAGGATAATTAGAACCATTCAGAGTCTAACCCCTCCCTGTGTCTCCATGGAAGAAGGGATTGTGATATTAAAATAAAAACCTGACCCAACTAAAAACTCTTTCTCATGCTTCCTGACAAGTTCTGATCCCCATCACAGGAGTTCTCACTAGCTATGAGAGGAACTCAGAGCACTGCTCGCAGAGAATCCAGGTATGGGATTCTGGTGAGCCAGAAAGTCCGACTTCTGAGCTTGTAGCTGCAAACCCAGAACTTCTAAGAGCCGCATTTGTGGCATCTTCACTTCTTATATAGTTAATAGGACATGTTGCTGAGAACACTGAAAATGTCATCTACTGTACACAAGGAAGCACAAATTTCTGTGCTGTCTCTAATCTTCCTCTTTTCTTTTTTTCTATTCAGATCATATAAATTGTTTGCCTTCTCTAATCTTCCTCTTTATTTCGGGTTAAAGGTATAGCCGGGTACCAGTGGGCTTATTTTGCATGAGTGCTATGTTTCCTGGAGAGATCTCAACTACCCCAAGCCTGGAGCAAACTGGGGAAAAGTCTCAACTATAAGACATGGAGTGAAGCAAAATCATATTCTGTTCACTGTACCTTTTACTTATCTGTAGAGTCCCTCTCCTTTATTCCACCCCAACCCATACCACCCAGGACTTCCCTAAAACCTCTTTCCTGGACTAACACCACCTGTCTGGTCTCTTGGTCTGAGGCCACAAGCACTTGAAGCCTACTTTCTATGTAAGAGGTAGAAGAGCGCATGGTTCAAGAATGCATGTCTAACTGTATTTCCTCTACTTACTGAAATCTTTCAACAGATCTCATTCTCAGGAAAACTCATGAATCTAAGAGGCTCCAGACACCTTGCTTGTTTCCATAGCAAACACTGTCCTTCATTCAACTTGCCTTGGAGCCATTTCTAAGGCTATAGGAAAAGTCTGAATCTCCCAAATCTCCCCTGAATATACATACATACATATACATGTATGTTGTGTGAGAAGTAATGATGACATTGCAGATAGCTATGGTTTCTTCCAAGTGGGGGGAAATATTACTCTGCCCTTTGCTGCTTTTCATATTGTTGAAATGACTTCAGTGAACAGATTTTAATTTACTAATGAGAGAACACAGGGCAGCAATTTTCAATTTGAAGCAACATGGCTAGGCCTCCCATCTTTCAACCACCATGATGGACTACTTTCAATGAGATGTTGTTATAGCTTGGATCTAGATCCCCTCCCCCAAAGCCTCGTGAGCTGGAAGCGGCTGGGTCTGGAGTGCATGATCCTGGCATTAAGTGTGTGATACTAGGATTCAGGGTGTTCCGCCCTGGGTGTGAGGGCTACCCAGCTTCTGGGCTGGTAGCCTGGGTGGAATATAAAGGACAGAAAGAGTGCTGCTGTTGTCGCTGCTGCCTGCTCCTCATTCTTTTTGCTTGGCTGCCTTCTGCCTGCCCAGCCATGCCATGGACTATTTCTCCCATGCAGTATCCCTCTGCCATGCCACTGTGCCTTGGAGACAGACAACTAGGGATGGAAATCTCTACAAATTGTAAGTTTTCCTCCTTTAATTTTGGGTGTCAAGTATGTAAGTTTGTAGGGTAATGAACTTCCTTCCAAAAGCATAGACAACAGGGAGTCTCTGGGTGTCCCGGAATAGGTCATTTTCAGAACAAGGAGTATGCCAGGCCCTCTGTCAGGCTGTAGTTCAGAAGAAC